TCAAACACATTTAAAAGAAAAGAAGATGCAATTCTGGGGCATAATTGTATACTTATATTATTTAAAATGCCCGGATGTCCGCCTATACCAATGTATAATAATAAACCACTACACAGGGACACGTACAACATTGTAATATTAACGTCTATAATAACATTCGGATTATTTAATATAATACATTTAACTTTCTTTCATAAGGTAAAAAAACACTAAACTCAATCATGTATAAATTCGGTATTTTTTTGGTTAAAAACGTCCGTTATATTTTGTAATAATAACTATTCAATTCCAAAAAAATCAATACCAGCAACATCTAGGAATTGAATGAAATAAATGAGAAACAGTTTTTCTATATAGCAGCATGGAATTATTATGACCATGAATATTTCACTTCACCAACATAAAAAAATAATCAAAATAGCACAATTTAACCAAAAATTATGAACATTTTGAAAATCACTATATAATTACGTATTACTTACTATCTCCGTTATTGGAACAACTCGGGGATAATATTATCTCTCTTGTTTTGGGGACCACTCAGGGATAATATTATCTCCCTTCTTGTTGGGACCACCGAGGGATAATATTATCTTTTTTGTTGTTGGGGCCACTCAGGGATAATCCCTTGTTGCTGGGGCTAATCAGGGCTAATATCATCTCCCTTGTTATTCTCAGAATAGTTTTAACCTTTCAATATTATAATTAAATACCGCCAATGTCATAGTAATGATTCACTAAGTGACAGAGACGAATAGTTTTCTTTTTAAAATATATCGTCACATCGATTATAGGTTAATTACTATCCCGTGTGGTGATGGCCGACGTTTCTCCCTCTAATACTCCACGTAAGTGTGTATTTACTATTAAATTGGAGGCAGAATTATCTCAATTATTTTGAAACATGATATGCTGGCATTTGCATAATGTGGAATAATTAATTAAATAGGCGGCAAAGAAAAATAATCATAATTTATGTTTGTCGTTACAGGCTGAGAACCTGATTGGTGATATCGGTGGATCGCTGGGACTTTGCATCGGATTATCTTTAATCACCGTCGTTGAGTTTTTGGAACTATTGTGTGATATAGTGAGATTTTGTTTCAGATGATATGACGTGATGTAAATTTGAAATCGCTTTCTAAAACCTTCCTAACGAATATAACGATCCCATCCCATCGAATTTTAGATATACAAATAGAAATATATAGCATAAATACAATAATTTGTATTACGTGTATGGTCTGACGTTTAATTGATCTCATTTAATACAATGATATATCAGACGTACTGCTACATTCCCGTATATAATGTCGGTTAAATGGTGATGGGAAGGGACTATGTAATATTTTAATCGGACACGTTTTTATTTTAGCTTCATGAAAACGACACAGTAGACTGGCATCGCTAGCTTTACTCCACAATCATCGAGAATCGACATTGATTGTGTTGTGGATACTTTCTCTAAGTTACATCCAAGAAGAATGTTACACAAACGTAAAACTATTGTCAATCTCTTTATCTTTACATATATATCATGTTACTAGTATAACGAAAATTAAATAAAAATATGGGGTCACCAAATCGATCAATACAATACTGTGAAGTTAACATGTTTTGTCTGTTTTAGGGCATATTACCATTGTTTTTTATGGCAAAGATATGTCTCAAACTTTGCTCGGTGACATATAGTCCTACACGTTAATTTTTGAGGTCTGAAAGTATTACCAAATTGATAATATTTTTAATGGGTTCATAAAAAGAAATGTGTTTTCATTGTAATCTATGGGGACCGCTGCTAAAATACTATTTTATGCATATTATTTTACTACCCCAAAAACAGATTTACAGTGAACCAAACTGTTGAATAATACTACAGATTTAGACACGAAATAGTGTCACTGCTATGTGCGCTGAACGATCTGAGATGGGCAAAAAACTTGTTCAAACAATTTTCAGTAGTGAATCTTGGTTATGCGTGTATTTGTCTGAGGGCGGGAAATGGCTCAGGAAGACTTTCTCTAAAAACGGTTAAATATAGTTAATAAGATGTTACACGTAACACTAAGTAAGCCAATGAAAATTTAAAACTGAGAACATAAACATACCTGTAACAGAGCTCTAAGATACCGAAGAATTCCCTTTTAAAATTCAAAAATGTGCACGTTTTCCATCAAATATATTATTGTTTTCGAAGCTCCTATTCAAAAGTACTGGCTACGGACGGCCCTGCTTACTTATTCCAGTCGTTATGGTGTCATCACGATGTCACGTGATTGATTTATAAAAATAACTTAGATACTTGGCTTGAGTATGCACTTGATCAAGTCCTCGGGACTTGGTGGCTTCATCTTCAGAACAAGTTACTACAAATACCGCCTACCCTCTGTAAGTCCGGATCAATATACTGTTCACGGGGGTACTCGTTAATTTTGAGTGGGAATGCTCCGCAGTCAGTTTGAAAGCAGGACCCAAAAAGATGGACGTTGAGGGCGCGCTGTCCCACAAATTTGCGTTTATCGTCAAAACAACCTCTGTATTTTACGTATAAAGCGCATGCTCTACTAATATAGAGCCATTATGGTACACAACTTAATGTAACACATTCCGCAACATATATTTCGGAAAGTAAGTTTGAAAGTTTTTCTTCAACTTGAATGTCGTTCTTGTATTCGCCATGTGAAATAACAATGCCAACTTTAGGGCGCTATGAAAATAAACTGAATGGCACTGTGTGTTCTTCTGCAATTATAAGTGTAATTATTCATTTACTGCATTTCTTGAAATAAGCATGGCATAGGTATTCCCTGGGAAGCACTCCACAATATTCAGTGGGTGCGGTGTTTGGTGTTATTACCATCCCTATTTAAAGCGAGTAGTGAACATAAAAATGGTCATTAAAGGAAAATTGTAAAAAGTAAACTCAAAACAAAATGATTTTTCATAATATATAACTTTTTGACAGCAAACATAGCATTTTTCGTTGGGTAAAATCTTTAATGCTCATGCGTCCTGGATTTATCCATAGACTGGAATCGCGGACTATATTTTGGCTTCATGGTCTTATATATGAAAGGGACAAGGGGGATAGCTGGTACAGGTTACAGGGAATAACAAATGGCATATTAAGTTTTTACAGGAAATAAAATGAAGGTTCTATTTAAAGTAAACTATAGTTTTTTACACCTTACAGATAAAGCAAATTCCTAATTACATTTTACATTTTTATAATATATTTGGTAATTTGTGTTTAAGGATCAAAATTAGAAATTGCGTATGAATTGTGACATTTAATGTGGAAAATGCTTTATACGCTTACAGAAAAAATAACTTTGTACAAATTACGGACGAATAAATTAGCTGATTACATTTTTCACCTTGCCATGTCTACGAATTTACGTATTTTATTACGAAAATAGAAACAATTGATTACAGCTTACGAAAATACCCCTTGCCAACCCTCTATATGAGTATATATAGCAATGAGTACTCAGGGTTAGGTCTCATATACAAGACAAACCAGGTTACAGCATTTAAACCAGAAATACAATCGCCAATATTACGTAAACAAATATTCTCACTTCCGGTGTCGGGGCAGTCTGGGATACATAAAGATCACAATATGGCGTCGCTCGGACGTGACATGTCTTGACAGAGGTTGTTGTCTACTGATCGCAAGCTAGCAATATGGTGAGAAAAACTCCACGTTAACTCGTCATGTTTGTCGGTAACTTGTTCTATGCACTACTGCAAATCAAATGATCGGTGTTATTCGAGTCGTTTTTGGAAGTGGGGAAAGTTTTCGGCACAGCGGATTTGGACTGTAGTGTCAGTGCCAGAGTGATTTATCTTTAAATTCACTGCAAAGCCCTGAAATGTGCGTGGTCTGGAGCTACAACTAACAGGATTCGTTAGTCAGCCGCGTGCTTGCCTTCATTGTAATTGGATTGAGACGATTTTAACTCTTCGACACAGTAAACCGTTTTGACTGTGAATAATTTCAAGATGTCTTGTGCATTATGTCAAGAAGGGAGGAAGTTGAAGTGTTTCGTTTCAATGGTTGTGTTGATCGGCGCTATGACAGTTTTATATTACAGCGTATGCTGGGGCCCCGTGCACGAAACGGCGACACTACAGCAGAGTGATTACGCGCACCTTTTTCTGGAAACTGAACAAAGAGTAAAGAAAGCAAAAAGTAAAACCTTCAGTGAAAAAACTCTGGACAGGGACGTGGAATTCAACATAACCGGAAATGACGTATTAGTGTTTTTACATGTGCAGAAAACTGGTGGCACTACATTTGGAAAACATTTAGTTAAAGACATTGATTTAGATCAGCCATGTGAATGCCATAGAAACAAAAAGAAATGTGATTGTTACAGGCCAGGCAGTGGTAATCGTGAATTGTGGTTGTTCAGTCGATTTTCGACAGGGTGGTCTTGTGGTCTTCATGCAGATTGGACAGAATTAACGCAATGTGTGGATGGTGTGATGGATAAAAGGGAAGGCGAAAGCAAGAAAAGGCGGTAAGTTTATTAATCACTATGTTGTTTTTTTGTATATTTCTACCATGTACAATACAGACATGATTTACCGTGAAAACTCAATTTTTAAATAATTAGTTTTGAAAAAAATAGTTGAAATTTTTAGAGTGAAAATCTTTGATTACAAAAACATTAGATGCCTTACATGGTGCTTCATTTGTTGTCAGAAAGCTTAAATTCAATCAAAACACAATCACTGGTAATGTTTCATATGCAAAAAATGTGCTGTGGAAATATCTTATTGGACGAAAAGTAAATACATTTCACAAAAAATAATTTGTTATTATCATGAAAGTACTTTTTGTTGCCTTTTAAAAAATGCCAACAGATCATACATGTACAACTAGTTTGATAATGAAAAATTTCATTTATGGAATGAATTCTTTTCGATCATCAATCTTCGAAAATTTCATTAGTTAGGAATTCTGATTGGTTAATGGCAGCTCAAACAACATCATGGTAGATTTACTCTTGTCTTAGAAAACTTGGTGTATTTCAGCATTTGTATAGAATCGAGCAACTGTTCTGAAACATTTGTTTTTCATGATAAATTAATTTTCAAGTTTAAATATATATAATATTTTGTGTATTATTATTGTGTGTATGTCGACAGTAGTAGGTGATCATTTATGTTTACATTTTTCCAGTGTCCCTAACACTACATACATGTGCCATCAGGTTTTTTGTTGATTAAGCCTGAAATAGAGCCGCGGTGGACACAATTTTAGAGAACTAAAAACAACACAACTCTGTGACTGGTCGACATTTTAGAAGCCAATACAAATGACAACCAACTTACAAATACTGTAGAATACTTTTTTTTCGCTTGGAATTTATTTTCGCTATTTTCGCTGAAGTGATGATTCCGCGAAAATAAAATCCAGCGAATATACTTTTTTTTCTATATTTCACATTAAACTCATCAAAAAATAGTGAAAATAAATTCCATACAAAATGCCCAAAAAGCCTTTTCAGCGAAAATTAATTCCAGTAAAAATAAAGTATTCCACATTATTATATATGTACTGCAGTTTATTTTGATTCGTCCCTGTAATCAAAATCGGTATTTCCACACCTCGTATGCAAATGAGTCTGAGAGCAAACAAAGTAGTCCCTTCAGGAGTACCGTTTTTCAAAACGTAGTACTAGCAGAAATAAACAATATTTAATAACTACGATATTTTTCTCTTGGGGTGCATGAATATACTTGCCGAGTGAAATGAAATTTGAACAACAGTAATGGTACTACTTGGCAGTCACTTATTTTGACAAAAACTAATTTGCATATCACCCATGCAATAATGTTTTCGGTATTTTCACGGTCGATATGCAAATGAACATGGTATTTCCATTGGCTACCAAACTATTTTTATTTTGTAAACACATTTTCGTCTGCTATTTTTGTCCAGTTCAAATGTTGAAATCGTTCAGCAACGTTACGTTTTCGGCATGTTTGGTGTACATCTCATAGAATACTACTAATGGGAGAACTTACAGTGTTCTCCCCACATAGAACAAAGCATGGCGGCACCGCCATGCTTGGTGACCCGGCCGCCACGCTTGGGCTCGGACCGCCATGCTTACAACTTCACCGCCATGCTAATAGGATGCATTGTTTACATCCATTTGACCCGCTCACACGTAGCACTGCATAAATTATCACCGTCTACGCCAAGGCGGTTTGAACTTGCCGGGACAAATTAAACATTGTTAAACACGTGTGAAGTGCAGACGCTGTCAATGGGGAACAAATTGTCACTCAAGTTGCAAACACCGAGATGCTATATGACAAAACATGTAAAGGAAAAAAAGGTGATGCCGCCCGGCTAAAACGTACAATCACCGCACAGAAACGGAAGCGTGTAGAAACACAGAAACGGCGTGAGGCTGGTTTTGATGAGTCGTGGAAAAAGACATTTCCCTGGTTAAGGTCAATTGTTCAGGTAAGATTTCGTAATTTTAGAAATAAAATGCCAGTGTGTGTATGTTTTGCCGATCGTAAGAACACCATACATGGTAGGCCTACACCGATTTCAATCAACATCTTAGACACGAGGCTGGTATAGACACGACATGAAAAAATAACATCACTCGTTACTGTCAACTTTTTTTAGATTATTTATGGATATCTTCATAGATTAATGGGTACACGTATGTTATAATTTGTCCAAGCAAAAAAAAAATCGAATTTTGTAATCTTCCGGTCACATGTTGACCTGTGTAGGTATTTCCAAGATGGCGGCCTGTCAATGTCTTGCGAACGACAGCTGCTATCATCACGCGTTATGATCGATGGAATCCCGATTTGTATACATAATTCTATTATTACGTTTTAATTTTAATTGAATAGTGACCTCATGTTTTTTTTCCTCAAAATTCCCGAGTCTCCTTGTCGTTGACCTGACAAAACCAACATGTGAACAACATGTTTTGCAGACGAAATGCTATCCATACGGCACTGGGTTCCCGATCGTGGCACAATTCAATCGTTATGTTTACATTGTTTTTTTTTATTATTTATCATTTTTTCCCACTAGGAATGTTGTGCAGTTAATGCTCAAAGCACAACATGATTGCAAAGAGTGGATCTTCTTTATGGAACAAAGTCCCGTGCAAGTCTATGACGATCGAGTTTAACTACAGTAAGGCAGCCAATGTTTGGAGCACAACAAAGTCAGAAGGATTAGTTTAGACTAAGTTTTATGGAACAGTTCACATTAAATGACGATCTTGTCAAATTATGGTATATTATGTAAAGTATTATGTAATCTAAATAAAGTCTCTCATACATTTTAATACTGTCTTGTATGTTTGTTTTTGTGAGAGTGAATCCTGAAAAATATGCAAATTAGTATGCAAATTAGCATGCAAATTAGACCGCCATGCTTGCCTCTGAGCCTGGGGAGAACACTGACTTACCGTATTTGTCTTCAGTTAAGCGCCACCTTCAATTAGGCGCCAGTGCCACAAAAACTTTGTATTTTACACCTCAATTAAGCGCCAGACAAAGTTGAAATTTTGTCACGTAATGATCGTGAATT